CTGAAACCTAATTTTCTATCTTCTAGGAATAAAAAAGAAGAATTCCAAAAATTCTCTTATCAGCAAGTTTTCAATAATGCGATGTGACAGAAAACAAGGTTGAGGTTGTGGTGGAAAACAATTGAGCTACTGGGTGAGGTCAAGAGGGGAAGCAGCAAAGAGGAAGGACAAGCTGTGACCACACCGGCTGGATCCTTAGCCGAGACACATAATTGAATTCTTGGTGGGCAAATATTTCACATAATCGAGTTTCCCAATCCCGCCATGCTCTTGTGAAGGTCCTAAAATATAATGGCCTACTTTAAAATAAAGAAACAAATCTGTTTTCAAAACAACTTTTCCCCTACGTGTCTTACATTTTTGTCTAAGAACCTTGCACTTGTGCCTGTGCATTTCAAATGAATGTTGGGCATTTTTTCCTGCTATTTTTAATCTGCTGGGCATTCTGGACATTCCTGGTATTTATAGTTTACTACTTTATTTCCTGATGTAATCTCACCAAATCCTGATACCACCCACCTAGAAATTATTTAACAGGTGCTGTCCGTACTAGTAACTTCATCTCTGGATGAGGTTAAATATAGTGTTGAATAAGTTCCTACAAACTAAGTTTTGTTTTTCAGGATGAGTTTAGTCTCGGGCTTATTAAGGAATGGTAGCCATGGCTGTAAAACCCTGAATAAACATGAATCACAACCTCTCAATAGTGTCAGCATGTTGTTAAAAGGACAAGCTCATATTTTTCTTAAATATGTACTCTTTGGTCCACGTTACTTGAAAGAATTATTTTTTGCATCTTCTTTATCTATTATTAGATATTATAATTGAATTTTCTTTATATTATAACATAACCATTAGAGAACCACATGGAAACAAGCACACCCGTGTTATCTAATACCTGAAGGCGTCATATTGATTTGAATTCCTTCCATTTCTATGTAATCCCTGTAAAACACCCATATCTTCATGCAATCATATCTCATTATGACATGGCACAGAGAAAATTTGTATCACCATTCCTTCCAGCATTAAATCTTGCACACAGGCTTCCAATTTCCTCCTCTGCCATTTGCTGCAGAATTTCGCATCGTTGCTCGTCTCCCTTTCCCCCTGGACCCTCCTCTCTCCTTCCTCCTTCCTCCTGCTCTGTTGGCTCCCCCTCGCAAAAGCTCCCCTCACCCTGCCTTCCTCTCAAACTATATGTTGGTTTGTTTGTAATTTATTCTTCCATTCAACAGGAAACCTTTAGAAAGATTATTCAAGACTCAGTGGATATCTGCACCCCTTCCTCCTTGGAAGGTGTTTCCATGAAGGTCATCAATTGAAGGTCATCAATGCCTGTCTAAGGACCAGAACGAGCTTCCTCACCCCGGTACACCAAGTCGGCAATGTAGCACTTCACAGCATCTGCCACATACGCTTACGTTACCTTGCCCTGTCTCACTCAGTCCAGATCTATAGCTTAAGCTCCCGTAGCTGCCCTCGGGATTACCAGCCCACACCTGCTGACCCCCTCTCCCTCCACCACGGGCTCCCGCTCTCACCACTCTTTCCCTTCCTGCCTCCTGCACACACGTTCATCACAAACACACTGATATCCCCCAATGTGAGAACCTCAGCTTTCTTTCCATCTGACTTTCCACAGACCTGTGAGGTCTCACCGTTGTCCACAGCTTCAACCATGACCTCTACATTTGGTATATTCTAACCAATACCTTACTTCTGACCTTCAGAAACACATGCCTAATAGCCTGAAGTCACTGCCTGCTTGACGGATATGTCAAACTCTATTTGTCAAAACAGGTATCTGTCATCTTTTCCACTCTACCTTTTAGCTTTTTTCTCCCTCTCTATTAATCATCTTGTTTAATGGTAACCACTTACTCATTCAGGTGAAGAAATCAGGGACCATTTTATAGTCCCTATACTCTTCTGCCTCCTGTATGCTCCCTACTGGAGATCGAACCTGCAACCCGGGCATGTGCCCTGACTGGGAATCAAACTAGGGAGTTTTTGATGCATGGGATGGCACTCAACCAACTGAGCCACACTGGCCAGGGCTCCCTACACTCTTCATCTCTCACATACAACTTGAGAACAATACGCATTCTACAGTTCCCAGGAAGCATCTAGGGTGACCTCTCTGATATTCACATCTGATCCTGCCATGGCTCAGCTTTAAGTCCTCCAAAGGCTCCACAACCTTTGGAATAACAAAGAATAACATACAAACTCCTTGCTTTGGTCCTGCCTGATGAGGCTTCCATCATCCCCTGCAAACACCTCTCACTGTGTTCAAAACACAATGGTCTTCTATCTGTTTCTGGAACAAACCAAGCTCATTCCTTCACAGTCCTTTTGTTCTTGCCTACGCAACACCGTGGTTATTGTTCATTTAAATATTTGCTCCTGTGATCGTCAAGAGTCCCTATACCTGGTACCATAGGTGCTCAGTTAATATTAGCTAAGTATGAGCTGTCTGGCTGGTACAGGAATCCATCAATAATATATTATAGATTCATACTTCCAGAGAACTTCTATTCTTGAAGGCTTAAAATAATCCAATGAAACTTATCAAGCCTGAAATTTAAATAAAGACAATCTGTGACTAAAAATAGTAGTGGACGTAATTTTACCTTACCTGTATTATTAAACACAAACAGTAGCCAAAGGCCATAAAAGATCAGATATGAAAAAGATGTGGTCAAAGTAGTTCTATGAGCAAGAACAGCACTCCCCGCTCCTGACAGTGCCTCTCGGCTGTTATATAATAAATAAGAAACATCCTGTTTGGAATAGATAGATGAAATTCATAAGTCTAGTCATGCTATAATAATTCTCTTTTCTCTACTTTCTTGTTTCTGTTAAAATCTAGAATTTTAATTCACTAATAACATAGTGCCAATGCTGATTAAGAACAGAGGCAAAAATAATTCATACCAAAAAAGTTTCATTTAAATCATGCGTATTCTTCTGAATCAACATGTTGAGGACATGCCAATCTTATTCAAAGTTCAACCACATCAGAAAAAATTAGAATCCAAGTCATTCTTACTCAACATCCAATGTGATTACAACTAATACTTTTTGGCTAGAAAGGCTACCTTCCATAGCATTTACATTTCTCAGGCTTGGATTTTTCTGGTTTTTTAAAATTTGTTTTTAATCAGAAGCAGAAATATCAACATGACATGCATACTAGATGTTACATGACATTTGGGGGCTAATAAGGAGCAGGAAATAATAAAAAATTAATAGAGTCTGATACTTATGAGGATATTTTTATAGATTTGTAGACTCTTTGGTACAGATATTTCAAGAATAATATCTAAAGGCTGCATCTCTACCCAGTTATAAGCTTTGGAGGTTTTTTCCTCCTGTCATAAAGTATTAGCTTGGTTGTTCATCAGATTCCTGTAATTAGGATCAAACTGGAATGAAGGCAGAGAAGATAAGAGTTTTAGTATACAACACCTCCTTATGGTTGAAATAATGAAAGCAAAACCAACATCACTGACCTTACTTAAGAAACACAACATATGATATTCAGGAACTATGGAGATTTTTAGTATTAAGGCCCTAAAAATCTTCTCACAGGTGTTAATTCAGGAATTTGCTCTTTATATATAAAGTTTGTAGCAATACTATTCTGCATTTCCATATCATTTTAGGTAGTAAAAAATGTTCATAATTATATGTCACTATCATATCCTCATTGAGGATCATTTTATAGATGAGAAAACTAAGGCTCAGAGAGGTTATATGTCTTTCCCAATATCACACGTTGTAGCAGGGCATGAAGGTATTATAAATGCTTTCAGTAAAATGTCAGAAAACAACTATAATTAATTTCCATAAATTCATGTTTGTGCCCAGAGTAATTAAATCAGGAAATTTTCTTAAAACTTAAGTATTTTATAATCTTTCTTAACAGTGATTTTTTTCCACAACAACTACACAGAGTTTATGACATTGTGACAAATCCTTAGAGTGTTCACTACACACTCACACACACACACACAAACACACACACACTCATACAACTAATGTGCTAGTTAATGACTTTAAAAATAAATTCATTTTATTATTTTGGATTTTAATTTTCTCACATTAGGTAAAGCAGGTCAGCAGGTCAAAAAAGTTCAATTTTTTTTTTTTCATTTTCCAGTCTCTGACAATTAAGAACTCATAAAGTTTATATAAAATGTCTATTCTGTGCTAAAAAGAGTTTTGGAGGAAACCTCATATTGTGGATTTTGGCTAACATTCTTGATTATATCTCTGATGAAAGTTCAGGTAAGGCAGTCTGTGATACAAGTTGTCCTATAACACTAAGTTGTGGCTATTTCATTAAGAATGGGGTTTTTATTTCAGTTGCTTATCAACCTATTATTTTATTATAAAACTTTAAGTTTTGCCCGTTGGTAAAGATAAGAGAAGACTAAGAGAGAGGCAGACCTCCAGATTGATGACTTTCTGGAAAAGGTTATGAATCATATGTCCCAGTTAGTCACTGCTCAGCAAATGTCCAGAAGAGTGCCTTTGAAGCTATTTCCAAAAGTGTTGAAGAATCCATGTGTTTACATTGGACTTTGTTACGAACAAAGAAAATACTATTCGTATATTTTAAAAATGCACGTGGTGTGCTCTGTTCTTCAAGCCAGTTGTCCAGACAAAAGGGCTCCATTTAAAATTGGAAATGGGTTTTATTACCACCAAGACCAGTGTTAAATTAAATTGTTCAGCCATCAAAACAAAAAGGACATGAGGATGTGATAAAACACCTGGGGAAATGCTCCTCAGCAGTCATACATATTCAACTTTTTGATGTTATCACATGTTTATAAATTGCACCCCAAAAATACATATCATAGAATGTGATCAAATGGCCCCTTAAAAAAGAAGGAACACATGCAAAAGAATTTTCTAGTCCAATTACAAATGCAGCTAAATCTAGAAGTGAAGATAAGCAGTCTATTTAGAATAAACATAATTCTTACCATCTGAGATTGACTCCTAGGACATCCATTGATATCTTCAACTTTTTCATTTGCTAAAGCCAAGAAATAAAATAAAAGAGAGAGAAAAAGAACGATACTTAGGCAATGAAGTGAAACACAAAAGACTAAGAAAAAAAAGGGGGGGGAAACCACAAAACACCAAGCAAAATGCTGCTGCTATATTCACTCTATCTCCCAAGCCGTGTACAAGGGGACACACTTGTTAGCAGCCACCAATTCCATATGCACAAATCAGGCAAATTAAAAAAAAAAAAAAAGTGAGTGAGAAGGAAGTTGCTGCTAATTCTTTAGCCTGTGCCAAATGACTGCTGACATGAAACCTTTCACAATTGTCCCCGCTGGGTCAGGATACAGTTTCAAGGAATCTCCGAGTGCGTAAGTTGCTCCAGCTAATGAAATGCACACATGGGAGACATATGGTTTAATGAAGCATTCAGTTCTGACAATTCAGTGGATGTAAGACACAGTTCTAACCATTTAAAAGTATGGCCAAGCTGCCTTTTCCAAACCTTCTCACAAAAACATTTTTTATTAAATCTTGGGAGAGCTACATTAATCTCAGAGACACATGGACCAAGTTTGTATGCATTGGACTTAAATTGTATTTTACCAAAAGGAGTGGGAGCAGGGACGTTCACAGTTTCTCTCAGAGGGCAGATCTTACCAATGATCTGGATGATCTCGGCTAGCAGCACTCCGTCTGCAATGTCTTGTTGTAAATCCTTGATCAGCCGCTTGTGGCCGGATTTTGCCAGGTAGTGGTTGGCCCAGTCAGTGTAAATCTGTTGAACAGAGGGAGGGAAGAAGTGAGATGGGCTGAGGGAAAAGAGCTAATAAAAATGCTGAAGACAAATGCTGGATTCAAAGGGAAGCTCTTCTGAATCACATTCCAGTTTACAAAGTCATAGCTCGAAAGGAAATAGTTGTAAAATTTTTTTAAACAGCTCTTTCCTCCACTTATCTCCTGTTTCAAAGGGAGATGATTCACTCTCTTTCAAAACCAGGGGCTAGTCACTTGTGACACAGCAAAACTCCCTTCCCGCAGGACTCCTGTTTGCAGATCATTTGGGGATTTCACTCTCCTTCCCCTGGATCTGTCATATTGTAAATAATCTGTCTAGCTCTGTAAAAGGAAGCCACCTGGACTGATTTCTACAGAAACCTTACTATAAAAATTTGTGTTTCTCTGAGAAGACTTTATTAGATTTGTCACATGTGATACTGTATGTGACAATATTTTGGCATCATTTTAGGGAGTAATTGCAAATGTCTAAGATATTTTATGTAGACTGTCATCTCCCATTTCAGCCTCTTGAAATGTGTTTATATAAGCGAATAGAAAAAGCAAATGAATCTATTACATAGAAATTACAATATAGAATTAAGGATGTTAGAGTAAAGGTGACTCCAGTAACAGATTATGATATAAGGAAAAGCTGGAACTGTTCAAAACTTTCACAAAAATAAAATGTTACCAATTTTTCAAATGTAATGGTGCACCTACTAATGTAATGTAATCTAACAGAAAGGAAATAAATAAGTGTTCAGACTTTTCAGTTTCATGGGTGGATCACATAAACGTATCAGTAAGTTTATTGCAAGGCAGACTATGATATGTAATGTGACAGAAGAACACAAAATTTGAAATGAGAATTGAGGAGGGGAATTAAATAAGAAGTATGCACATAAAAATGTGTTACAGAAGCACTTTAATTAGAACTGGGAACACAATGGAATCTGAACATAAGAAGTGAAGAGAAGGGCCTTCCCACAGAGGGTACAAGATATAGACTGGCAGAGAGGGGAAAAAAATCAAGGACATAGTTGTTAAATCTATAATTAAAACAGGATTCTGAAAATAGGACAAATTAGGCTGAAAAGGTAAGTTGTATCTTAAATCATAAGCACTGAATGCCAAGCAAAGTGTAAAAACCACTCTTTTATATCTCGCTAAACCAATACACATTTTTTATAAAAATAAAATAAATCAGCCCTGGCCAGTGTGGCTCAGTTGGTTGAGCGCCATCCCTTGCACCAAAATGTCACCAGTTGGATTTCAGGTCAGGGCACATCCCTGGGTTGTGGGCTTGATCCCCAGTAGGGATTGTGCAGGAGGCAGCCAATAGATGTTTCTCTTTCACATCAATGTTTCTCTCTCTCTCTCCCCCCTCCCTTCTTCTCTCCCTAAAATCAATAAAAACATACAAAAAATAGCTAAATCAGAAGTGAAAGTCTCCCTACAACTTGCAAACCACCCACTTTTGAATAATTTGATATGAAGAGCTCTAGAAGTGTTTTCTGGGACTTTACACTGGACCACATGACACCACATTACACACACACTAGGATTTTAAACCAAAGCTGGCTCAGATTTTATATATCATTCTGAATTTATCAACTTTTTATGTAACAATATTTTAATAAAACTTCTAAAACCATTTCCCATATATTTATCTCACTATCTTTGATGTTCAGTTACAGATAATATCAATTCCCCTGTTGAAGGATATTTAATTTGTCTAGATATGTTTCCATTACATCTAAATTTGTAAGACACATCCTCATATACATGTCTTTGCACACTCATATGCTAGTATTTTTATAGGACCAAAGCGTAAAAGTGGGGCTACTAAATATATTTTTAATGGATCCTAGGTACAAATATTCAAAAATACAACATAGAAGAAAGAGTACTTCTTAATTTTACAAAATATAAAGTTGCATTTTAATGCATATGTAGTAGTGATTAAGTTTCCTGAAAGACATAAATAATTGGAAGCACCCAGTTGCATAAGAAAAATAAATGGTAGCAAATTACATCTCCTTTCTTCATGTTGAAGATATTAAAGTGTGAGAAAAATAACTCGTACAATTGTCCCCTGAATTAGAAAGCAAGCACCTGACTTCTAGATGGATATTCTTTTACTTGATGATCATCTTCCTCAATTAAGGTTTTATTCTTCATGTATTATTGTAAAATTTTATTTTTATAAGGATTTATACTCTTGAGAATCTAAAACATTGAGCACATCCCCCTCATCTACACACCAATCAAAAGACAGCATTAAATGTTTGGCTTCCTAGTAGAAATTTCAGGTTGACCCAGTCTTTTTGGTCTTTTAATAGTTCTTTTTTTATTGAATTTATTGGGGTGACACTGGTTAATAAAGTTATATAGGTTTCAGGTGTACAATTCTCTAATACATCATCTGAACACTGTATTGTGTGTTCACTACCCCAAGTCAAGTCTCCTTCCATCAGCATTTGTCCCCCTTAAGCCCTCTTCTACTCCCTCCCCCCTCCTTGCCCCCTGGCAATCACCATGCTGGGGCAGGTTGAGCCCGTCTTGATTTGTGCCTATATCACAGGCAGTGAGATAAGGACCAGTTGATTGACTCCAAAGATGAAGAAAGTGGATTCTGGAGTCAGGAGGGCCTCGCTTTGAGGGTTTACGGCCACTGGGACCTCAGATTCCTCATTTGCAGAGTAAAAATACTGCTACTTGCATTATAGGATTGTGTCAGGGCTAACACAGCACTTGTAAAGTACCTGTCACAGAATTAGCCCTGAAAAAATGTCTATTATCATTATTACTATGGCATCTGGTATTTGCTATGATGGCTTTCCAACAAATATTTGTTTAAGTTATCATTTGGCAGAGGTTAAAAATTAGAGAGCACTGGCAGTAGAAGAATGAAGAAATTGTTCTCGCTTCTGACATTACTCACACCTCTGACTCCCCCTGACTTCTGTTTCACTGGGGCCACAGATCTGTCCACCATCCAAACCCAGAGGAATGGAACTGATTTTAAGGCTGTCATGTTCTCATTCTGACCTGCAATGCCTCCACCGAGACATCATCTCCATAAAACTCCATATTGCATGGATTTTGTTTTATGAAGGCATTAAATTATGGAAAAATACTTATTTAAATATACGCAGAATGGGATATATTAAAAACAAAACCAAGAATATTTGCATTTTTCAAATGCATGTCAACAGTGCTTTAGCCCCTATCCAAATCCCCCCTGGGACTTAGGTGAGAAACTAATGGGAAGTCAGCAGGTAAGCTTCAAGGGAGCAGGTAAGCCAACTTTGAACACCCACAAGGTGTTCTCTACAGTGATGACAATCTAGTCTCTCTTGCCTATCAGGTGGCATTCTAGCTACTTAATTCTTTGTCCAAATCATCACTCCCCACACTCCTCCGAAGACTCCTCAGCATCCATCTGAAGCGATATGTGCTATGCGTTGTCCCTTCATGCCGCTCCAAATGTCCTGAACACTTTGGTTCCTGAGTCAGCGTTTCCTCCTCCAACCTGAAGTGTTACAATCATCCTGGGCAATTTCATCATCAGTGTGGACAAGCCATCAACTACTCTGCCAGAAATTAAATATACAGTAAAGAACCACCTATCCTGTCTTAAATGCACAGTGACTAGTAATGATCTTTTCTTCTACACAGAATATGGCAGTTTGTAAATTTTTGAGAAAGAATCTGGATATTATAATTATATAGCAAAATTTTGGTTCTAATTTAAATCTTATTTCACTTAACTTCAATTGCATTTCCACTGTTGCCAGCAGCATGAAAAACAAAAGGGTCTATATAGCATTATTTCTCCAAGATGTACTGTCTACGAATAACAGTGCTGAGGGTGAGACACTGTTTTAAACATGTTAAATGTTTAACTCATTCAATCCTCAAAGCTCTATAAGAGGAAGATAATTATTCCATTTTAGAGATGAGAATTTTGAAGCAGAGAGGTGAAGTCTTTTCCCCAGGTCACAACAGCTGCATAGAACCCAGATGTTCTGGCTCAGAATCTGCACTCTGAGCCCCCACAAAAGGAAATGTTTCATTTATGAGCCTTCCCTAACCCCAGCCTCCTGCCGTTATTTCCATTGCATCTGATGTCCATTTCAAAATATGGGGAAAATCCTTTATTTGACTGCTATAACATCTGGCATCTATAGAGTGCTCTTTGGGGAATCCATTCTAACAGCTTGCAAAATTCTAATAATGCAGGTGACAACATGAGCTAAATTCTGCATATTAAACTGTACCAAGAAAGTATTTTAGGAAAAACAGTTGAAAGAACTTTTTGTTCTCACAATTTTCTATAGGTTATAAAAAGGCAAACTTCAGATTCTTTTACCTTCTTTTTATCTCAGTTTGATAATTGATGTTAATAGATACAGCAAATAAATTTAAGGTAAATCTTAGCAACCATTCTGCAGAGACTAAATAATATGGCAGAAAGTATGTGTAAGAAAATAAGTTAATAAAACACAAACTTAAGAGAGAATAAACGTGTATAAGTCTTAGCATTTCAAAGTTTATAAGCTTCTGACCTGAGTTTTTCCACTCACATACCAATAATTAGCAGTGAAGAACTGACTGATAGAAACATTTAGTGTAAACCAGCAGTTCTCAAAGTCCGGTTCCTGGACCAACAGCACCTGAGCCATCTGGGAACTTGTTAGAAATGCAAATGATCAGTCCTCACCCCAGATCTTCTGACTCAGAAACTCTAGAGGTAGAGCCAGGAATCTGAGTTTTAACAAGCCCTCCCTCTAGTCTAGGTGTTTCTGATGTATGTTAACATATAAGAACTGCTGGCATAGACCAATACTGTTCACAAATAAAAATGGTTTTATTTCTAACACTTTAAACTGTATTTTAAAGTGGAGAGAATGCTATTTCAGTGTAAGAGAAAGGTAACAAAAGAACTGTGGCTTATATAGTATTTACCCTTAACTCCTAAACTTCTCTTGCTAC